GACCACATTATAGAGGGATGTGTTTTGTTCATATTTTAGTCAGAGGTTTACAACCACTTTTAAGAATTTAGGCCCCATGTACACGGGACACTTCTGAACGATGAACAGGAGAACCTCCCAAATGCCCAGAATACACTGAAAAGTGGTAAATTAACTATTTCAGACTGTTTCAGAGAAATACAGAGAGTAGAAGCAGAGACAGCAGTATGTGTTGAGATTAGCTTAGGTGTGAGTTGCTCATTAACATTTCTTCTGTTTCCAAGGGTGGGAAAGGTGTCTGGTGGAGGGAGTCATTAAGGCCACCTGGCAGGGGGTCTTCATGAGGAATTTAAGGTGTGAATGGTCATTTTGTTTCCAAGGGTGGGAGAGGTCTGAGGTGTGAATTGGTCATTACAATGTGTGACAAGTTGGTAGGAACATCCTGTGTTCAGTGTTTTGTCCATTTGAGTACCTTGAAAACCCTTTGCATGCATTTTTCATGATGAAAAAAGGCTCTGGACAGCATTGGAAACTGGAAGAGTTAAAAAAAAAAAAAAAAAAATTGCAAACACTTATAAATGTGATTTGCTGCGTTTACAATCGTTTTGCATTTGAAACGCTGATAAAATCAACTGCTGAACACAAATTTGGTGCGTTCAAAAAAACGACTGTCAACTCAAATGCCTGTGAACGACGATGTGTACATGGACACATAGGAGAACATTAGGGTGAGTTCAGGGGCTCCTGAAAAAAAACCGCTGAACAGCTCCTGAACGTCACTTTATCAGCTGCAGTGTACATGAGCCCTAAAAGTGAATGATGTCCCGTGTTGTTCTAGTGAAGGCTGCTCTTTCATGTTGTGGTTTTTTTTTTTTTTTTGTTTTGTTTTTTTTTAGCTGAATGCTACGGATCTTTTTCTCAAGCAGCACTCCAGTTTGTTAGCTCATGTCTTCTCTTGTGCATCCTTGGGCAAACACAATTACCGACTATAATTGACCACATTCAGCCTGTAGGTCAGAAGCGTTACAGAGCCTTCATCTTACGGAATGGCCTCCAGGTCCAGGCTCGCCATCCTAAAAGCTTCGGATTCTCCTCCCAGCACTCTGTTGTCCGATTACTCCGATCGGCAGAACGACCCTCACTGACCTCCAGTTTCTGCTGTTGTTTGTCTGCTTTTCTTTGGGGTGGTATGTCGGGAAGGATAGTAGAAACGCTTTTTTTTTTTTCCCTGCAAATAGTTTATTGAACTCCTAGAATTGTACAGTATCTCCCAGAAGTGAGTCCACCCCTCATATTTTTTGTAAATATTTGATTCTTTCTTTTCATGTGACAACACTGAAGAAATGACACTTTGCTACAATGTGACGTAGTCAGTGTACAGCTTGTGTAACATTTAAATGTGCTGTCCCCTCAAAATCGCTCAACGCACCGCCATTAACCACTTGCCTACAGGGCACTTATACCCCCTTCCTTACCAGGCCAATTTTCAGCTTTCAGCACTGTTGCATTTTGAATGACAATTGCGCGGTCATGCAACATTATACCCATCTGAAATTTGTATAATTCTCACAAATAAAGCTTTCTTTTGGTGGTATTTACTTGCCACTGGGTGTTTTTTACTTTTTGCGCTATAAACAAAGAGCAAAAAATGTGAAAAAAAAGTTTCTTTGTTTCTATTATAAACTTTTTGCAAAGAGGTAATTTTTCTCCTTCGCTGATGTGCGTTGATGGGGCGGCACTGATGGGCAGCACTAATTAGGTGGCACTGATGGGTACTGATAGGCAGCACTGACTGGCTGCACTGATGGGCACAGGTGGGTGGCACTGCTGGGCACTTGTGGGTGGAACTGAAGGGTGGCACTACTGGACACCGGTCATCAGGGAACTGATCATCCCTGCTCTGACAACTGCCGTGAGGAAAGGGTAGCCTAGAACCGGCAAATGCATTTCCCTGTGATCAGCGTTCCATTGGACATGGCTGATCACGTAGTAAAAGGCCACTGTGATTGGCCTGTTACCACTTCACATGATCAACTGTGTCCATAGGACACAGCGATCACGGAGATTGCCGGGGGCGTGCAGGAGAGCGCGTTCTGGGAGGACGTCATATGACGCCCTCCTGAAACTGGCCAGCCGCAGTGCAGCCGTCATTTGGCTATCTGTAGTCGGCAACTAGTTAATGTTTAAGGGCTCATGTACACTGCAGCTGATAGACTGATGTTCAGGAGCTGTTCAGTGTTTTTTTTTTTTTTTTTTAGCAGCCCCTGAACTCTCCCTAATGTTCTCCTATGGGTCCGTGTACACATTGTCATTTACAGTCGTTTTTTTTTGAATGCAGAAAACTTGCGTTGAGCTGTAGATTTTATCAGCGTTTCAAACGCCAAACGCTTGTAATCGCGGATAAATGTTTATAAGCGTTTGAAATTTTTTTTTTTAACTCTTCCAGTTCCCGATGCTGTCCAGAGCCTTTTTTCATCATGAAAAAATGCATGCAAAGAGTTTTCAAGGTACTCAGATGGACAAAACACTGAACACAGGATGTTCCTACCAAGCTTATCACACATTGTAATGACCAATTCACACCTCAGACCTCTCCCACCCTTGGAAAGAAAAGCTATGTTAATGACCATTCACACCTCAAATTCCTCACGAAGACCCCCTGCCAGGTGACCTTAATGACTCCCTCCACCAGACACCTTTCCCATCCTTGGAAACAAAAGAAATGTTAATGAGCAACTCACACCTAAGCTAATCTCAACACGTACTGCCGCCTCTGCTTCTACTCTCTGTATTTCTCTGAAATAGTTAATCATTTACCACTTTTCAGTGTATTCTGGGCATTTGGCAGGTTCTCCTGTGCTTATCTTTAAAAAAACGCTTCTAAACGCAAATAAATGCGTTATGCAAATGCGGCTAAACAGAATTTTTTTAACCTACGTTTTCCAGCAGTCAGTTTCCATCGTTCAGAAGTGTCCCGTGTACATAGGGCCTAACCCGCTGGCAACAAAAGTGATCACCGATCCTGTTCTTCTCGGGTCCCCTGATCCTGGCTCTTCCCCTTTGCTGAGTGCCGAGGCCCTCGTGCCCATCGCTGGATCGTGATGGGGCTCAGGTAAGCATTAGGCGGGCTGCTGGAAACTGAATGCATGAAGGTAATATCCTTGAGCTTTCAAAGACTGATACCCAGCAGTATTCAGGGCTTGTTCACACCATGTCCATTAAGCTGAATTTTTCTGCACATGTATGGTGTGAACAGAGAATATATAAAACACTTGTTTTCTGTGTGCCCTGTATGTTGACACTATATACATAAGCAGTGTTCTGTAAAGCTCCGATCAGCAGAGATGTTATGAACAAGCACTTGCTCTCCTTTCCTTCAATCCTCCTCCACTAAGATCACCAGGTGAAAACAGATTGGAATAAAGCCTAAAAAAAAGAAAACAAATGCAGTCTAATGATTGGTAAGCTGCAATATAATACATTTTTGGGTTTAAAACCGCTTTAAAGTTCCAAGATTTGCGTTGTCTTTGGTTTGATTTTTGACATTTCACATACAGCAGATTTGTCATTTCATTGGTACTATTGGCTTTTTTTTTTGTGAATTTATGGTATTTGGCACTTTTAGGCTCCATGCACAATGGGGGGGGGGGGGTTTTGATAATGCTGGTAACATTAGCAGTGTAAAATCACGTTTAAAAACACAAGTTTTTCAGCTTCTTTTTTTAGTGTTTTTGCATTAGCAGTTAGCAGCATTTTTCCTCGTTTTACGTTTTTTTTTTTTTTTCTTGTAACAAAAAATGTTTTTTGGTCCAAAAATGTTCCAAAAAAAAAAGCCATTTTGTGTCGGTTTGCCGCGTTTTTCAGCGTTAGAGCATTTTCATAGCTAAAAAGTTCCTCTAGAAACCCACTAGTCCTGGGTTTTTTTTCCAGCTAAAAAAACTTCCGTGCCAAAAAACATTGATTCCAGTCTGTGTGTGCATGGACACATAGGATAACATGATGGGGGGTTTACTGGCTGTAGAAAAAAAAGTCAAAAGCCAAAAACATCCCCTGTAAAAACGCCCCGTGTGCAGGAGGATTTAGGAGATTAGTGCACTTTAAAACAGTGCATTTACTACTTTTTTTTTTTTTTTTTTGCCTTCTGACCTGGCATAACCCACCTTCCCTCTCCACAGATGCATACTTACCTCAATCTTCCTGGTGCAGCCATAGAAGTCTTCACTATCTTGGCCACGCCTTTGCCTTTTGTGCCCCATAGACTTCTAGGAATTTGTGTTCTGAGGCTGGAGATGACCATAGACCATCCCATAGAAGTCTAGGGAGCTCTGTAATAGACAGGCGCAGCTAGGAGTGTAAAAAATAAAATAAATCTTGACCCTTGGCTGTTGAATCCGAGTAAGTAGACTGTAGCCTCCCGGGGATGGGAAGGGTGGTTTGGGTGAAGGGACAGAAAGGAGAACTACTCCTTTTGTTATGAAGTGCACTGATCCTTTAGGGCAGTGTTTCTCAACTCCAGTCCTAATGGACCCCCAACAGGTCATGTTTTCAGGATTTCCATTATTTTGCACAGGTGATTTGATCAGTTTCACTGCCTTAGTAATTACCACAGCTGTTTCATCTGAGGGAAATCCTGAAAACATGACCTGTTGGGGGTCCATGAGGACTGGAGTTGAGAAACACTGCTTTAGGGTAAGATGTAGGCTGTGCGTCTCCTGTCGGTACATTTGCATATTACATGCAGCGGATGCACAGTAACTACACCTGTTCATTTTGTGAAACCTGTTAGCTAGTTTCCATGGGAACTAACTGCGTTGATGTGTATAAATGTATATGGTCTTGAAAACTGTCTGCATAAAAGGCTTGTCCGGGGGTGTATGACACTGTGCTGGCCTTGCATTTTTTTTTTTTTTTTTCTTGAAGCTAATTCTATCCATTTTTGTTTTTTTGTGGCGCAGCCAATATTGATACAGTCTTCTTCTTCCTTTTTTCTTTTTTTTTTTTTTTTTTTTTTTTTTCTGCAGGACAAGAACAAACTGATGGATGCTCTGAAACATGCTTCAAACATGCTGGGAGAACTCCGGACTTCCATGTTGTCCCCAAAGAGTTACTACGAGCTTTGTATCCTTCCTAATGGTCATGTGGTTTGTCAGGAAGGATTGGCGGATGGCACCACAATGGATTGGTCAGATAAAGGCAGCCGTTCCCTGAACACTAGGTCAAAGTAGTTCGCCTTGCCTCCTATCTTGCACCGTTGTATAGGCTGCTGTCCTATAATGAGAAATGGCTTGCTGTGGTTTTCACTGCACACTGTGAGCTTTTCGCATTGTGCACTAGAAGCTGCAGCAAGTCAGATGGATTTCGCCTCATTTCCTGGCTGGTGTACATTCAGCATAATCTAGCCTAGGGGCACTGCACATCGCTTCTCGGCCTTTTGGCTAAGATCAAGTGTAGTATCTGTTCTTATCAGTGTCCAGTGGGGGTGCTCCCGGCCATTCTAGCTTTGCGGGGATGGCTGTTGTACCCTCACTGGTATGATGGGGGTCTGGAAGGCCAGTATCGGGGGGACAGAAACTGGGGAGCGCCACGCGTTAAGGTGGGGCCCTGGGAGTAATTCCCCTGAGAAAGCTGGAAGGACCCAGTACCTCCTGATTCGGACGGATCTACCTTGGTCTGGCCAGGGGCTGAGAAGGCAGAAAGTCTGCAAACATGGTGCCCCCTGAGTAGTCGCCTCAGGGGTGCTCTGAGTAGCACTTGGGTGTGGGACCCCACGTTGTGAATGAGCACATGGTCACCGCGTTTAAAACACTTTTTGCACTGCGCCTCTATAGGACCGGGCCTTTTGGCCAAGTCCTGGGCAATTTTTTTGCTACAGGCCTCAGGGCCTGGTCAGTGCACAATTTGGGCACGACCACCTTTTTATTATTTTTATAGATTTATTTAATTATTTATTTATTTATTTTTACACTCCCACATTTGTCACTTTTACTTATGTGTGTGTTTTCTTCACATGATGGAGGGTGTGGGTCCTCGGGCCTGCCCTGAAGTCTAGGTGGAGGATGTGTGGCCTTTTGGTTCCTTCCTCCCCTGTCCCTAGGGGGTTTTCTCTTCAGGAGAGCCCCCTGACCAAGTACTGGGTGTCTGGCTTCGGCCGGGCATAAGGAACGGTGGTCCACCAGGCCTTTTGGCCAGGAGGACCAAATGGGAACCTTGTCCCTGTCAGGAGCTTCGTGCCCCGGGGATCAGGGTAGTGGTCCAACCCCTTCGGGGGTAGGACAAAGCACACCCCTAAGTGCACTTTTTGTGTGGTGTTTTTGCACTTGCACTTTTTTGTGAACACTTACGGGTTTTTTCGTTGTAGTTTGCACGTTTGCGGACTTAATTAAAAAAAAAAAAAAAGGGGCACTGCACATCTGACATCACACTGCTAGGTACTCTGGTGGAAACTTAGGGGTCCACAAACGGTCTCTGGGTAAGCCGAGTCATGTATGACATGATGGATCGGGGAACTTTTCACTCTGCATACCACGTTAGGCATCGTACCGCTGAGTGAATGTATTTATTGTACGGTTGGAACTGTATTGTTATGTGGTGTATTTATGCACTGTCGCAGTACAGGGTGGAATGTACCTCAATTAAGTATCTAGTTTTTTTTTTTTTTTATACTTATGTAAAAAATAAGGTATGTTTTTTTCAACAAAAAAGGGGTACCCAACCCTTGAGCCGTGGACTGCTGCCAGCTTGTGGCCTGCTGGAGGCTGGGCCACATGGCAGGGGTTTGATGGTGGACAGAGTGAGCCAGATCCCCTTCTCCCAGCACTAGTACTCCCTTCCCTCTCTGTGGTCACTGTGAAGGGGAGGGAGGAGAGCCACGCCAGGGGCAGGATCTCATAGTGCACTAGTGAAACCCAGGCTGCACTCTCCCCCTTTCCCCATGAGGTGACAGGCTGCACCGCCAACATCCCCCTTTCCCTGGAGGCGACAGGCTGCACCGCCAACATCCCCCTTTCCCTGGAGGCGACAGGCTGCACCTCCAACATCCCCCTTTCCCCCTTTCCAACTGGAGGCGACAGGCTGCACCTCCAACATCCCCCTTTCCCTGGAGGCGACAGGCTGCACCTCCAACATCCCCCTTTCCCTGGAGGCGACAGGCTGCACCTCCAACATCCCCCTTTCCCTGGAGGCGACAGGCTGCACCTCCAACATCCCCCTTTCCCTGGAGGCGACAGGCTGCACCTCCAACATCCCCCTTTCCCTGGAGGCGACAGGCTGCACCTCCAACATCCCCCTTTCCCTGGAGGCGACAGGCTGCACCTCCAACATCCCCCTTTCCCTGGAGGCGACAGGCTGCACCTCCAACATCCCCCTTTCCCTGGAGGCGACAGGCTGCACCTAACACGAATCTCCACACCCACCCTTCTACCTCTGTTCCGTGGACAGGTTCTCCCTGGTCCTGGGGAGGTTGAGGACCGCTCCTTTTCCTCCCCAGCCTGATTCTCCCTGGCCCGCTCCTTTTTATTCATTGAATTTCAATTCTTTCAGTTGTGGAGGCTCAGCATCACATGTGTGGCCTGGCTAGGATCACCCACTCCTCCAGACTGACACCCATCGAGACATGTTGATATTTGCATAACTCCTCAAAAAAAAAAAAAGCCCCACTGCTTTTCTATATAAAATGGGTCTTGGTTGGTGGAGACCAGACCAGTCACCCTGCACAAGAAGAGAGAGAGCAGCAGCAGTGAGCAGTCTTTATTACAGGAAGGGGCGGAGACAAGACCAGTCCCCCTGGACAAGGAGAGAGAGCAGCAGTGACCTGTCTTTATTACAGGAAGGGGTGGAGACCAGACCAGTCACCCTGGACAAGGAGAGAGAGAGCAGCAGTGAGCGGTCTTTATTACAGGAAGTCTCACACTGGATTGCTGCACAGATCTGGAAAAAATGCACAAAGCTCACCGAGATTCAAGGAAGAATATACAGGATGGCTGGATTTAGATATTATTTGGTTCTCCTGGAGTGCAGCTTTAACACTTATCCATAATGCATGCCTTCCGTCATTCAAAAATGTTTGGATCTATTGATGAAATGCTAAGAGGTGCAAGCATACCCGATACGAGCCGCAACACAGACCTGCTCTTGATCTTGATTTGGCTGAGCTGTGTCGTCCTCTGCAGTCAGCATTTGATGCAGATCGTTTTGAAGATCAGTCAATTGCAGGAGGCTGATGACGTCTTTGATTGTTTGAGATGTACCATAGACTGGCACACTGATTGCTGCCTGGGCAGTTTTGCACTCAGAGCAAGGTGATCATTTCTACTTTTGACTTACCGAGTACAAGAGAAAAATCAATCGGCTTCTTCCGCAGCAGTTATTAGCCGGCTAGTATGTTTTAATCCATCCGTTGTGCACCCAGAACATTGGAATAGAGTGTGGCGGGTTTGCTGCCAGTCGCTTTTTAAAAATTGAGTCTTTATCTAGAAAAAGGAGAGAATCTTGTACACCCAAACCAAAGTAACTCAGTATATGCAGCACAGGGTAGTGAAGAATGCAAAAACCTGCACATTGGAGAGATCAGACAACCTCCCAACAAACAAATGGCCCAAAACAGGAGGGCTAATTCTACACGCCAAGATTATGCAGCTTTCCTATACTGATACAGTATTTCGCCTCCTGATTTAACCCTGTAAATGCCACACCACCACGCTGTAATTGCGTATTTTGTATGCAGTTGCGGCGTTGCCACAAAAGCTTTTGTCTTTTAGTTATACTTTTATTTTGTGTCTTTTTATATCCGTTCGGTAGGGACTCTAAATTCTTAAAGTATTTGGGGTTCCAGTCTACTTGTCCCTCATGACAATCTACTTGTCCTGATAAAAACAAAAATAACAATCAATGCACTTTTTTTGCAGGATTAAAAAAATAATGTATTTAGTATTGTATGTATGTATGTATGTATGTGTGTGGATAATGTGTGTTTGTGTATATATGTATGTGTGTGTGTATGTATGTGTGTATGTATGTATGTATGTGTGTGTGTGTATGTATATATATGTACAGTGGGGATCGAAAGTTTGGGCACCCCAGCTAAAAATTTGTATTAATGTGCATAAAGAAGCCAAGGAAAGATGGAAAAATCTCCAAAAGGCATCAAATTACAGATTAGACATTCTTATAATATGTCAACAAAAGTTAGATTTTATTTCCATCATTTACACTTTCAAAATAACAGAAAACAAAAAAATGGCGTCTGCAAAAGTTTGGGCACCCTGCAGAGTTAATATCTTGTACTGCCCCCTTTGGCAAGTATCACAGCTTGTAAACGCTTTTTGTAGCCAGCCAAGAGTCTTTCAGTTCTTGTTTGAGGTATCTTTGCCCATTCTTCCTTACAAAAGTCTTCCAGTTCTTTGAGATTTCTGGGCTGTCTGTCACGCACTGCTCTTTTAAGGTCTATCCATAGATTTTCAATTATGTTGAGGTCAGGAGATTGTGAAGGCCATGGCAAAACCTTCAGTTTACGCCTCTTGATGTAATCCCCCGTGGATTTCGAGGTGTGTTTAGGATCATTATCCATTTGTAGAAGCCATCCTATCTTTAACTTCAGCTTTTTCACAGATGGCATCAAGTTACCATCCAAAATTTGCTGAAATTTTATTGAATCCATTTTTCCTTCTACTCGTGAGATGTTCCCTGTGCCACTGGCTGCAACACAACCCCAAAGCATGATTGATCCAACCCCATGCTTAACAGTTGGACAGAGGTTCTTTTCATTAAATTCTGTGCCCCTTCTTCTCCAAACGTACCTTTGCTCATTCCGGCCAAAAAGTTCAATTTTAACCTCATCGGTCCACAGAACTTGTTTCCAAAATGCATCAGGCTTGTCTATATGTTCATTTGCAAAGTTCAAACGATGATTTTTGTGGTGAGGACGTAGAAGAGGTTTTCTTCTGATGACTCTTCCATGAAGACCATATTTGTACAAGTATCTCTTTATAGTGGAATAGTGTACCACAACTCCAGTGTCTGCCAGATCTTTCTGGAGGGATCGTGCAGTCAAACGTGGGTTTTGAATTGTTTTTCTCACAATCCTGCGAGCTGTTCTGTCTGATATTTTTCTTGGTCTTCCAGATCTTGCTTTAACTTCCACTGTTCCTGATGACTGCCATTTCTTAATTACATTCTGAACAGAGGATATTGACATCTGAAAACGCTTTGCTATCTTCTTATAGCCTTCTCCAGCTTTGTGAGCGTCAACTATTTTCAGTTTCAGTTTTCTAGACAACTGCTTAGAAGAACCCATGGTGCTGATTGTTGGGGCAAGGTCAGATGAGTCTGGGCATTTAAAACCTTTGAGATTGACATCACCTGGTCTTCCCAGATGATGATTGAGAACAATCCATGACACCGACAGGTCTCAGCTTGGCAAAGGGGGCAGTGCATGCTATAAATTCTGCAGGGTGCCCAAACTTTTGCAGACACCATTTTTTGTTTTTCTGTTATTTTGAAAGTGTAACTGATGGAAATAAAATCTAACTTTTGTTGACATATTATAAGAATGTCTAATCTGTAATTTGATGCCTTTTGGAGATTTTTCCATCTTTCCTTGGCTTCTTTATGCACATTAATACAAATTTTTAGCTGGGGTGCCCAAACTTTCGATCCCCACTGTATGTGTGTGTGTGTGTGTATGTGTGTGTATATATATATATATATATATATATATATATATATATATATATATATATATATATATATATATATATGTGCGTGCGTGCGTGCGTGCGTGCGTGTGTGTATATATATATATATATATATATATATATATTTCGGAACAGCCTATATCCTACATTAAAAATTATTAAACCAGTAATTAAATATTTAAACCAAGCTGCCGCTTTAAATAAAAAAAATAAAATTGTAAACCGTGACTAAAAAAAGTAGTATACATACACAGCACTGTTGGTGTGTACTATTTTTTTTTTCACTATTTTATAGATTTTTTTTTTTTTTTTATTTAAAGCAGCAGCTTAGTTTAAATATTTAATTACTGGTTTAATAATTTTTATTCTAACCGTCAATATTTTCACTCTTCAGCGCGGGGATATAGGCTGTTCTCATCCTATATATTTTTTTAATTTATATTTATAATATAACCGTAAAACACACTAAAGTTAATTTTAGGGGGCACAAAAACACAATCAATTGCCCATTTGTTTAGTACTATATTAAAGCCAAGGTTGCACCGAGTAGTTAGATACCCAACATTTCAAACCTTAACTTTGTGTACACCCGTGAAATGGCAACAAATTTCAGCACCGTATTTTTTCTATAGGTTGACTCTTTAATAACCCTATAGGTCAGGTCATCAAGGATGAGTCTAAAAGACCCTGGATGTCTCCTGTGCTCCTTGAATGTAATGCAATGCAGATTACAATGCATTACATTCTTTCCTGACCCTGCTGGCTGGGGAAACTGTCATCGGGGACACGGAGGTGATGTCATACATGTCGCTTCTGGGTCAGGAACAAGATGATGAGGAAAGCAGACCTTTGTCCGCTAAGCTCCCTCCCCTGTACCCGGCAGCACCCTCTATGGCGGATTCCATGCTGAGCCCGGGATACATAGTGGTGGTGGGGCCAGAGCACTTTACTGAGGTGTGTGGAAGCTTTTGGATGGCTGCGCAGCTGCCCAAATGCTTCCACCTGATATGTAAACACTGCTGCTTTCCCACAGCAGGGCTCAATGTTGCAAAAAACGACCTGCCTGGCGCCCATAACTGTCTCACGCATTGGGCAATATAAATATTGCATCCCTGCCTGCCCCAAGTTCATCTTACAGGAAACCTTTTTGTGTCATGAGATGTGGTCTTCTATTGTTGTCTTCTCTCTAGAATGCTCGTCATTTGGCTGTGATTTTGATTCAGCTGCTTTCATACTTACCAAGGTGCTGATTTAGACAGCCAGCCAGCTAGTATTTTCAGAAGGTCAGGCACAGCAGGAATTGTTTTGATCCAGCTGTGCCTTTGCAAACTTATGCAGGCCATAGACAGGTCACAAACCGTCCGTTTAAAAAAAACAAAAAATTGGTCGTTGACTAGGCCGACGTCACCACCAACGGTAAAAAAAAAAAAAAAAATCGGCCGTTTTTTTTTTTTCCCCCCCGTCTACGGCCGCCATTTTATTACTTCTTTCCCTGCAGAGAGCTCCGCTATTGTATTTGACATGAAAAAGTATTACAGTTGCAACAATGTATCTATTTGTATCCATTTTGGATACAGACTGTTTTATTTTTATACAAATAGATACATTGTTGCAACCGCAATACGTTTTCATGTCAAATATAATAGTGGACTGAAATTCTTCTTTTCGTCTTCTTCTTGCAGGTCACGGCTTTTTTTATTGGTAAAAAGATCGGCCAATTTGCCCATCATTGCCAGGAAAATAGGCCGATCGACAAAGTCGTCCGTTTTTTTTTTTTTTTCCCAACTTCACCGATAAAAAAAAATGTGCCAAAATCCCAAAAAACGGCCGACCAAGTAACCCACTAACAGTGCGAAAATCGGCTGATTTATTATTATTTTTTTTTTTTTTTCAGCCGAAAAATCGGCCGATTTTTTTCAACCCATCTATGGCCTGCATAAGGTCGATGATTGAAGAATTGGGGAATACATCTCATTGCAGTTTATAGGACTACAATTTAGCTGACCATTCAGAAAATACTGGCCATCAGAGGGATTTTTCCAGAAGTGCTTCCAAGTGTTGAAGATGGATTCCAAGGTGAATGCCTGTGCCGTTTAGCAAATGGTCTCTGTTATCTAAGGCGCTCCATTCACACTTGTGCGTCTTGTCATGTGACTTTGGACATCAAAGTTGCATGACAAGTCACAGCCCATTCTTTTCAATGATACGCATTCAAAACTTAGAAAAGATACCTGCAATACTTTGATGCGAATTTGATCCAGAGTGTGTAAAGTCGGATCAAAGTTGCATCACAATTGCGATTTCCAGTGCAACTTTGGAGTTGAGCAAGGGTAAATGGAGTCTAAGTCAATTTTTAAAAGCCAGAATTTTCATGCCTGACCACGTTTTTGTGTTTTTATTATCCTTAACATGGCCTACAACAGACATGGCGATTTCTGATGAGCTGCATTATCTGGAAGTTTATTTGACGGACGAATTTGCGAAAGGAAGGAAAGTAGCAGATCTCTACGAGCTGGTCCAGTATGCCGGGAACATCATCCCCAGGCTGTGAGTATGGCTGTTTGTGTTTTCCTCCTGATTTCTTGTTTAATCCCTTGCCTACAGGGCACGTATACCCCCTTCCTGCCCAGGTCAATTTTCAGCTTTCAGTGCTGTTGCACTTTGAATGACAATTGCGCGGTCATGCAACACTGTACCCATATGAAATTTTTATAGTGACAATTTTTGGTGGTATTTAATCACCTTGGGGTTTTTTATTTTTTGCTAAACAAACCAAAAACAAATGAAAAATTTGAAAAAAAAATGTTTTTTCTTAGTTTTTGTTATAAAATTTTGTGTATAAAGTGATTTTTCTCCTTCACTGATGTGCGCTAATGAGGCTGCAGTGATGAACACTGATAGGTGGCACTGAGGCATTGACAGGCATCACTGATGGGCACTGAAAGGCAGCACTCATGGCACTGATAGGTGGCACTGACTGGCACTGTTAGGCAGCACTGATGGGCACTGATAGGTGGCACTGACTGGCACTGATAGGTGGCATTGAAAGGCAGCTCAGATGGGCACTGATATGTGGCATTGATATGCACTGGTAGGCACTGATGGGCACTGGCAGGTGGCACTGATGAGCACTGACAGCTGGTATTGATGGACACTGACAGGTACCACTGCTGGGGCTATACTGATCATCAGGACACACTGATCATCGGTTCCCTGATGATCAGTGTACATGTGCCCTCTGAGGAATGCTGATTACTGTCTCTCCTCTCCTCACAAGCTCTCAGCGTGACTGATCGTGAGGAGAGAAATGCTGATAATCGGCATTTCCCTATTTTACATGCGATCGGCTATGATTGGACACAGCTGATCACATGACCAAGCCGACATCTTTGGCTTTTTCCGTTGATCGGTGATCCGCTGTATCCGAGGGACACAGCGCACCACCGATCGCCTCGCGGTTAGAGTGGGAGGATGTCATATGACGTCCTCCCAGAACGAGAGAACCACCTTGCGCCCGTCATTACCTTATGTGGCAGGTGGGAGGCGGTTAAAGAAGAACTCCAGCAGGGTATTATTTGATCACCATGTATGATATCTTGTAACCAGGGTTGAATCTAATAGTGGTGCACTGAAGTGAAAATTCTGGTGCCGAAACCGAAAATTCAGGATGCACTTGGCCGAAAACCGATACTGAAATGGATGGTTTTTATTAATTAGTATTTTTGGAAAAAAAATACACTTTAATAATTAAAAAAAAAAAAACAATATATACCCTAATTTTTTTTTTGTAAAATATGAAAGATATTACGGCAAGTAAATAGATACCCAATATGTCATGCCTCCTTTGTCACCACACAGGTTAGCAGATCTCCATCAAATTATCTCTTTTCCTTTGGATCGAAGTGTCATTGCCCTGGTTCCTGCTGCAGAATGGTTCCAGGGGTTTTATTCATCCCATTAACACTTTCCAAGCCCATAGTGGGAATTTGACCCATTCTGAATCAGAAAAGCTCTGAATGTCTTCATTTCATTTGAGAAATTCTGCATGGAATTACCAGGGAAGCTTCTGTGGACATCAGAGATGCTTACTTTGCTATCTGTTTCCTACACTACCAGTTCATGGACTCTGCCCTTCAGCATATTGGCTGCTCCTTGGGTCTTCACCAAGGTGCTGGCCCCTGTGCTAGCCCTGCTGTATATTCTTTTTACGTCCCCATTTTGGGATAATTCTATTGACTCCTATTGAGGGAACAGCTGGAATTGTGAATTTGGCTGTTGATCAGGTGTTTCCAAACTTCCTAAACAAAGGGCCAGTGTACCGTCCTTCAGACTTTAGGGGGTCCATACTGTGGCCAGAGGGAGTAGAAAATATATGGGAATATCCCACCCCCTTGTATTCATAATCATTCTATTCTTTGTTTGGCTTTGCACATATTTTATTTGGGGTTTTCAGTCCTGTTGTAACATGGCCAGCTGTAGCCATTATGGTCACACATTTTTAATTTGAGAGTATTTTGTGAGAATGTCTTCCCACACCACCATTAGGTCAAAGTGTTGTAAAAATATTAAGATGTGGCTATTTTTATTTGAATTTCTTTTGACTTGTGCTTTGTCTCTCAGGTATTTGCTGATCACTGTCGGCGTTGTCTATGTGAAATCCTTTTCCCAGTCGAGGAAAGACATCCTGAAAGACATGGTGGAGATGTGCCGTGGAGTGCAGCATCCACTGAGGGGGCTCTTCCTTCGCAATTATCTCCTGCAGTGCACCCGCAACATCCTGCCAGATGAGGGAGAAGAGACCAAGTAAGGATCCAACTGCGTGTCTTCAGCGTGCTTTTCTGACATGGTTAGGTGAAAGATTTGCGGGCAAATTCACACTAGAACAAACAGCTGCCGGAGTGCTTTAGGGGGGGCAGGACGGGGGGGCCAATCAGTGATCACATGATCGGGACCTCACAGAGAGGTCCCATACAGCGATCCCAGGGAGCAGGCTGAAAATGCGGGCACCATTTATGAACGGCAACCCGCTCCTGCACTGCTCCCATCCAGCTGTTTATATACATGGGCTGGACTGGAAGTGGTTAACTATGTATATACAATACCTGGCGATGCCTCTAAATAATGAAAATCATTGAATCAAATGCTGCTACTCCATTGATCTCCACTCCCAAGTCCCATGCTTGAGTGGCTGGCATGATGCATTGTGAATACAGGAAAATGCAAAGCTTTCTCTGACTGGACGAGGTGTAGGGGCGGGGCTGTGATGTAACACTCTCCACCTTGTCTAATTAGTTTCTTGGTAGTAGAACGAAGCCGGTGAGTGAAGTTGTTGGTGCAGGGATATTTTTGCATGCTTTTGTTTTTTTCTTTTTTTTATATTAGTGACGATCTCTCGTGCTATAGGCTGGACAGTAACAGATTATAGTTTTTACAGTGAGGAAGTCACAGGAGACATCAGTGACTCAATGGATTTCGTGCTTTTGAATTTTGCCGAAATGAACAAGCTCTGGGTCCGCATGCAGCACCAGGGCCACAGCCGGGACAAAGAGAAGAGAGAGCGTGAACGGCAAGAACTACGGATCCTGGTGGGAACCAACTTAGTCCGGCTCAGTCAGCTGGAGGGAGTAAACGTTGAAAGATACAAGCAGGTATTTTTTTTTTTTTTTTTTATTTGGCATTGCTCACTTGCAGCCTTTTTTAATATAGTTTTTCCTTCTTGCTGAAACTTTGTAAATAAAGTTAATCAAATTACCTGTATGGGAAAAATTATTCGACTCGCCTTCAGTGATGCAGAGGCTGATGTCTTCATCCTCCCACAAAGCCCCAGGGAATGTAGAGTACTCTAAATCTCTTGAGAAGATGCCGCAGCACAGTGCTGTAAGCATCCTTCTGTGATATTTGGAGTGCTCCACATTCCCCAAATCTTGCTGGAAGGAGGATGACGGCAATCACATCTTGGCACTGCAGGCAGAAGAAAAGGCAAGTATAATATTTTTTTTCTTCCCCCTTCTTTACAGAAATTATACAAGGGGGGAGGGGACAAATGTAAAAAGCAGAGCCAAGTTTTTGGTGGATGGTCTGCTTTAAAGTGTATCTAAACCCAAGAACAACACAGCTTACCTGTCCTTAGATGTGGTTGGATTCATTTGTTTTCTTGTTTAACCACTTGTCCATCGACAGGTACGTCGCTGGGCGTTCATTGGGTATACCGGAGTGACGCCTGCCGCTGCAGGTGTCACGCTGGTGGTCGGCTCTCTTGTAATAGCGATTGAAGCGGCGTTCCAGCTGCTCAATTGCAAGAAGTGGGAGGGGACATAACCTGTAAAGGCTTTTAAAGCATCATCTTTGGGTAGTAAAATGTATGTTTTTTTGCCATTACACAGGCATTTGCAATTTTAAAACGTGACATGTTTGGTATCTATTTACTCAGTGTAACATCATCTTTTATATTTTACAAAAAAAAAATGGGTTATGTATTGTTTTTTTGCAATAAAATTTAAAAAAGTGTATTTTTTTTTCCCCATAAAATTGCATTTGAAAAACCACTGTGCAAATACTGTGTAAGATAAAAAAAAAATTTAGAAACCCACCAGGGTCTCTGATTTAAAAAAAATATATAATGTTCGGGGGTTCTAAGTAAAAAAAAAAAAAAACAAATTGGTTGTTACATGTGAACAAAAAGTGCCAGATATGGCAATCCCCAGATATCCCCAAAAGGAGAAGTTCCACTATAAGGACTGCTCCCCATTAATGATTGGCACCTTTGGGGGGGATCGGGTACCCGAATTTGACAGGTATCCGCTCCCACTTCTGGTCCAATCGCTAGGCGATCGGAAACAGAAGGTGCCCTCCCTCCCTGTTGTCTTTTGGGACACATGACAGGTCCCAGAAGACTACAGGACCATTCATGAAGCGCAACGCTTCTTACACATGCGCAGTGGGTACCCGGCTGTGAAGCCACAAGCTGTCACAGCTGGGTGCCCACACTGAAGATGCTGGGCCTCCAGGAATACAGGACGGCCGATGAAACGGGCTGCAGGGGACACACCGCGGGACCGAGGGACAGGTAAGTGGCTGTTTTTAAAAGTCAGCAGCTACAGTTTTTGTAGCTGCTGACTTTTATTTTTTGACAGGGTGAGTGGAACTCCGCTTTAAGGCCTTTTTTTTTTTTTTTTTTTTTAACTTTTTATTTTCACCTGGAGATCCTGCCTCTAACACACACTTCCTGTCCTATTTAGAAAGCAAATAAGCTGGATTTTTGGTGGCCTGTGGACTAGTCCCAGCATAGGGCAATTGTAGCTTCTTTAGATTCTTGAATTACTTTTTTTCTTTACTTGAGTTTTTTGTTTCTTCCAGATTGTTTTGCCTGGGATACTAGAACAAGTGGTGAACTGCAGAGATGCACTTGCCCAAGAATACCTCATGGAGTGTATCATACAGGTAAGCGAGTGTATTTTCTGACACATTCCCTTCAATGCTGCACAATGCTGTTAAAGTGTTACTAAACCCACAACAGTACAATCAGTCTGTATATGCAGTAAAGCATGATTGTTATACTCACTGTGGAACGTAAGGGGTTAATCCTCTGCATTGTGTAAAAAGGCTGTTTGATCCTGTATTCTCTGCCCCTCCTCTTGTTGAAATGACCACCTGATACAGACTGAATCTGTAGTCACATGCTCAGTTTGGTGTGTATTACTAGAGAGGTTTTTTTTCTTTCTTGGGAGAGTACATGTGATCAGCACTCTCCAGACAGAGAGTCAAGGGTTTCACATCCTCCTAGAGCAGAAAGAAAACTCCTCCTACAAGCTTTAACCAGTGCTCTGCTGAAGTCACAAGACTGCTATATACTGCTGATGAAAAAAGGTATTTAGCAGTTTATATTTACTAAAATAATTGCATTTCCATGTTCTGTGTATTGTGGGAGACCAGCTGTAGTGAATGCAGGGTCCGGGGAGACCGGATATAGTAAAGGCAGGGTCCGGGGAGAGCGGATGTAGTGAATGCAGGGTCCTGGAGAGAGCGGATGTAGTGAATGCAGGGTCCGGGGAGAGCGGATGTGGTGAATGCAGGGTCCAGGAAGAGCGGATGTAGTGAATGCCGGGTCCGCGGTGAAGCGGATGTGGTGAATGCAGGGTCCGGGAAGAGCGGATGTAGTGAATGCCGGGTCCGCGATGAAGCGGATGTAGTGAATGCCGGGTCCGCGTGTGAAGTGAAGCGGATGTAGTGAATGCCGGGTCCGCGGTGCGGTGAAGCGGATGTAGTGAATGCCGGGTCCGCGGTGAAGCGGATGTAGTGAATGCCGGGTCCGCGGTGAAGCGGATGTAGTGAATGCCGCCGGGTCCCGCGCGGTGAAGCGGATGTAGTGAATGCCGGGTCCGCGGTGAAGCGGATGTAGTGAATGCCGGGTGCGCGGTGAAGCGGATGTAGTGAATGCCGGGTCCGCGGTGAAGCGGATGTATTTCTGTGCATCAAAGTAAAAAATGCCCAGTACCTATCCTACCCACCCCCATCCCTAAACACTTACTCCATTCACCACTGCAGCTTTGCCTCGGCTGCAGCACAGCTCCACCTCACTTCCTAGTCTCACAGGAGACACGGAGGGCAGCGGGAGCCATAGGCTGCTGCTGCTGCTCTCAGTCAAACTCCTGTGAGGAGTGGGGCATGACTTAACAGCTCTGTGCACCTCTATGGATGCACACAGCCTGGCTTGGGAGCGCTCATGCATGATTTAGTTTCTCTTTAACTTCTTTTTTTGGGGTGAGGGAGAATCCTGGCATTTCGCTTTAAAACCCAAACTCCAGCCTTTTTATTCTTTCTTTTGGATAAAGTTGGGAAGGGGTGTAATGGGCTAGACATTCCATTTCATTTTGGTTGTCTGTTTCTTGTTTAAGAGATTTACCCTCTTGCCCTGTGTTTGAGTGCTAAGCCGGCAATACATCGTTTGAAAATAGGCCAGTTCAGTAGGGACCGGTCGAAGTTTGATCCCTGTATGGGCAGGGAGGTTGTCCAGAAGTCAATCTACTGAACAACTCTGATTTTCTTCACTTGATCCGTGCTGTAGGCTATAACCTGCAATGCTGATCGGTGCATTCTGATGATGGGGAAGTCTCTCTACTGTCAGAATACAATTGCTCAGCTGGGAGGATTCCCCCATCCACATAGAGCACATGTGTCAAACACAAGCCATATCCGGGCTTCCAGGCCATTTTATGTGGCCCTCGCAATTCTCCTGTAGGTGCGGCACAACCCCCCATCTCGTGCAGCAGACAGAAGGACAGAACTACTCTGCCAGTTCCAGTGCTTCTCCTTCTCCGTGCAGGCACAGAGAGGCTCATCTCTAACACCCCCCCACCTACGGGGAGGGTGGTGAGAGAGAGAGCCAGAAGCTTTGATTCAGTCCTCCTGTGATGGTAGAGATGCAGTAATGACTAGGCCTCACTTGGCAGTGTCCTGGGAGTATTCCAGTCAGGCTTCATGAGGCACATAAATGCAACCACCTATAGCAAGGACATTATTCAACTTTAGTCAGAGACACACAGTTTATTATCCACAGACACCCCTTATCTGTGTAGGCACACTTCTGGTAAAGGTGAACTGACACTTTAAATTTTATGTTGTTACTAAAACCAGTAATATTCATATGCAAAGGCAATTATTTAATATAATAAAGAGTAGTTATTTTTATATAGTCTGACAGATACAACCCGCCCTTTGAGGGCAACCATAATGCTGATACGGTTCATGATGAAAAGTCCATGGGAAGTAAAGTTTTTTGTTTTTTTTTTTTGTTCAACTGTCTCATCTATGGGCTACCCTAGACAAATTAGGAAGTGAGGGCAGAACCCCACCAACATGGCAATACAATTTATTAGTGCATTGGACCCTTTTTCCTAAAATTTCTAAATACTGTGTTTTAAGGACCCAGCTATGAGAGCTGTACTTTAGAGAGCTGCCTACAAAATATCATCCCATACCCAATTTGGGACACCCTATTGGAGCCAGAAATCCTGCACTCCTATGACAATTATATTGTCTGTGTTCCCTACTGGGTGATTACTTCCTTTCTGAGCAGACTTTATAAAAAGCAGTAAAGGGAAATATCCGCAATGGGCACCCAGACCATACCATACCTTTCTTATTTTTATTTTGGGTGTTTTTATCTTTGTTTTAGGTCTTTCCTGATGAATTCCACCTCCAAACACTGAATCCTTTTCTCCGTGCATGTGCTGAACTTCACCAAAATGTGAATGTAAAAAACATCATCATCGCTTTAATTGACAGGTAATCCCACATTCTGAGGTTGCAGTTCTGCTATGGTATTTGGCTGTATTTTTTTCCTTTTCGCTTGCGTTGCTTTGAGCCATCTGTTGAGATCTGTTCTCTGTTCCCTCCTCCATAGATTAGCGCTGTTTGCGCACAGGGAAGATGGACCTGGCATCCCAGCAGATATAAAACTGTTCGACATTTTCTCGCAGCAAGTGGCCACAGTCATACAGGTGAGGAATAGAGAGCATTCTTTGTTTTTTTTTTTTTTTTTTTGTTTGTTTTTTGAAAGTTCTCATCTATCCAGATCACATTATGGTCAGCAGTAGTTGGTCATATTCTCATATACTTGTTATATAATGGTACAGGCTTCTTGTAGATTACCAATGGACATCAGGATGACACCCCACCATTTATATCCATACAGACAGCACTGATGCCTTAAAGCGGAGTTTGCCTGTCCGTCCCCCCCCCCCCCCCCCCGTCCAAAAGAAATAAATTAAGTCAGCAGCTACAAATACTGTAGCTGCTGACTTTTAATACTAGGACACTTACCTTTCCAGGGATCCAGCGGTGTCCTCACTCCAAGCCAATTCTTCAGTCGGCTGTGGGGTGAGGATACTATGGTTTTCAACAGTAGTGAGTGCTGTAATTTTTTAAAGAAACATACTGTAGCTTACCAGCTCCTGGATGTGCATTCGTTTTTCTTTTTTTCAGTCCTTTTTTTTTTTTTTTAACTTTTTTTTTTTTTACTTGGTAATCCTGCCAGTAACACACTTCCTATCCTAGGATGACAAGCTCTCTCACTGTACTCTGGGGCAGCAGCATTGTCGCCTTGATACAGGAAATTTAACACTACAGAATTCCTCCTCTCACCAGTGTCAGCATTGCTAGTGTTGTTGAGCTTGAAGGCCCCAGGAAGTAGGAGATCCTGGGGACTCAGGTGCAGAAAAAGATTTATATCTAAAATATGAATGTTCATTCGTTTATTGTCTCCTTCCTCCCCTAGTCTCGGCAGGACATGCCCTCCGAAGATGTTGTGTCCTTGCAAGTATCTCTCATTAATCTGGCTATGAAGTGTTATCCTGACCGAGTAGATTATGTGGATAAAGTGTTGGAGACTACTGTGGAAATATTTAACAAGCTGAACCTTGAACAGTAAGTAGACATAAATTACAGGCCTTGTAGATGAAAGATTCAGAATTTCTCCAGCCACCGGAGTGATCCATGTAAGTGTAGCAGTTTTTATTTCAAAAAGTATTACATTTTCAGAAAGAACTGTGTAGCATTAAAGCAGAACTCCACCCTTATCTTTTTGTATTGCACAGTTGTGAAAGCTTCCCAGCTGGAATTGCTTGCTCTGATTTCACGGCAAACTGAACTTTTTACGCTGAGTCTTAGAAGCTGCATCAAGTCAGACAAAGCCCGCCTCACTTCCTGAGGACATCCAGCATCATCTAAGCTTCCTTCCCAGCCTGGTTGTTCCTGACCTACCATTTTCATTTCCACGTGCGCAGTCTTCCAGAGCAGTGTGCCCGAGCTGACAGGGAGGAGAGCTGTTCGTAAACAAAACAGTCCTCCTCCCCGTTAGAGATGCTCGGTAATCACCAGTTGCCTGCGTGTAATCACCAGCCGAGACCTGGTGATTGACAGCTGTGGCCGCGAATGGCTGCGCGGGTAGGGTGTGCTTATGGCTCGTGTGCACCCCCTACCCAGAGATGCAAAATCAGTGTATATATACGTGATTTTGCGCTCCCTTGCTGCCATGTAGCAGTATATCTGCTATAGGGCATCGGGAAAGCAGTTAAACTTCAGGTTTATTTTATGTGCTCACATCTAGGTTGCAAGAAACTCATCCAAAGATTAAGCAACCTATTTTAAAGCTTATGGAAAATATGTCTGGCTCCATCTTGAAGGGGGCAGGTGGTCGCTCATTGGGGTATTTTGAATTATCAGGTATAGAACAGTGTTAGAATCATGGGGCACAACAGAAGATTTTTGTGCCAAGGAAAAAAAAGTGAGGTCAGCAGTGGCACCCATGGTGAAAGAAAATACATGAACTCCTTGCCTACCGGGCACTTATACCCCCTTCCTTACCAGGCCATTTTTCAGCTTTCAGCGCTGTCGCACTTTGAATGACAATTGCACGGTCATACAACACTGTACCCATATGACATTTTTTATAATTTTTTTTTCACACAAATAGAGCTTTCTTTTGGTGGTATTTACTCGCTGCTGGGTGTTTTTTTTTTTTTTTTTTTGCGCTATAAACAATAAAAGAGCAAAACATTTGAAAAAAAAGAAGTTTTTCTTTGTTTCTTTTATAAATTTTTGCAAACAGGTAATTTTTCTCCTTCACTGATGTGCTTTGATGGGGCGGCACTGATAGGCGGCACTGCTGGGAGGCACTGATGGATAACACTGATGGGCACAGGTTTGTGGCACTGTTGGGCACTTGTGGGTGGCACTGATCATCAGTGCCGATTCCTCCTCTGACATCTGCCGTGGTTTTCGGCAGTATTTTCCTCACGCTGTGACAGCGTGAGGAAAGTGCAGCCGATTACCGGCAATTGCATTTCCCGGTGATCAGTGTGTCATTGGACACGGCTGATCACGTGGTAAAAGGCCTTTTACCATATCACATGATCAGCTGTCTCCATAGGACACAGCGATCACGGAGATCGCCGGGGGCGCGCAGGAGAGCGCGTTCTGGGAGGACGTCATATGACGTCCACCCAGAACTGGCCGGCCGCAGTGAAGCTGTCATTTGGCTATCTGCGGTCGGCAAGTGGTTAAGGGTATTTGTCATGCAGCAATAAAAATAACATCAGTCTATTACATGGCACTTGTAGTAGGTGTGCAAAACATATTTCAATATCTCCAAGCAGTCAGAATGTCATAGTTTCTAGTATGGAGTTCATAACATTAGCTAGCAGTTCTCTGTGAGGCAGGTGAGCGTCACAGCTTTAAGCAATTGATGTGCTTTGTACACCTATCCTGATGAAGTGGCAGTTACTGTGCCATGAAATGTGTTGATGTTTTATACTGTTGAATAACAAATGTCTACCTTTTGATGAAATCACTTCAAAGAATCATCTTTCACTGTGTGTGCCTCTGCTGACCTCCATTTTCTTCTTAGGGGAAAAAAAAACCTTTCACTCTGTTGTAGATGAAAGGCTGCTGAAGGATTTGATTGCAGAAAGATAATGTTTGTAGCTGGCATCGTCTGCCCTGTTCAGCCTGGAAGTAAATAAATGAAACATGTGGCCAATACTTGAGTCTTCAGCTCAGGTCCTTTTTATTGTTTTACAAAATCTTTTATTTAAAAACGAATCTGGCCTGTTTCATTTTGCATAATGTCGGGCGTTTTTTCGAGTTTGATTGTGCTAAATGTAGTGTGTTTTTCTATGTTTACCTTTGTTTAACCTCTTGGCGCCGGCTGAACGCAAATGTGCGGCCTCCCGGCGTCTGGGCCTAGACGCCGAGCGGCCGCATATTTGCGTTCTATTAAAAAAAAAAAAAACACGTGCTGAGAGCGCATGCTCCCAGCACACACGTTCGGTACTCACGAAAGGTCCCGATCTCCTCTTTTGATCTGGACCTTTCCCAATCATGTGACAGCAAATCACGGCGGTCACATGACCCTAAAACCCTGCTCCGGCTTCTGGAACCCTTAAAGGGCCGGGAGGTGCCGGCGCCAAGGGGTTAAATAAAGCAAAAGGGAACCTGCCCCTTTAAGAACAAATATTTTTAGCTGTGTACATAGCATCTGCTTATATATCAGTAAAGTGTTACTAAGCCCAGGACCCTGCATTCACTATATCTGGTCCCCCCTACAGTACAGAGAACATGATAATGCAATTATTGAAATTAAAAACTGCTAAATACCTTTTCTCATTAGCAGTCATGTGACTTCTATCAGTGTCCAGCCGAGCACATGTTAAAGCTTGTAGGCGGAGTTCTCATTTTGCTCTAGGTGGATGCAGAGCCCCTGACCTCTGGACAGTGCTGATTGTCCCTTTGCTGATCACATACGTTCTCCCAAGAAAAATACACACCAAACTGAGCATGTGCAGAGTGACGCCACACGATATGTCTAATCGGGAGATAAGAGGGGGACACTGGAAGAAGGGGAGGATCAGAGAAGTTGGGATCAAACACAGTTTTACACAGTGCAGAGTATTAACCCCTTAGGTTCCACAGTGATTATAGCAAGTATGCGTTACTGCATATGCAGACTGATTTTACTGTTGTGGGTTTAGTAACACTTTAAAAAATGCCCGATCTATTTTTCTTTTCTTTTTTTTTTTGGGGAGACATTTTTTTCACTTCCTGTTCTAAAGACCCACCAGGAAGTGAAAGGAAATCTCCAAAGTGAGGAAATAATCCCTTCTAGAACAATTGCCACAATAGATTTTATCCTCTTTTTTTCTGTTCCAGCAACAACTGTAAAAAATTTTGGATTTCCTGTCATTTTCTGTCATGGTGACAATGATTATCAGGAAAAATTAGAGCAGGTGAATCTCCCCAGTGAGGATACAAACAGCAATAATAACTTTTTGAGGGTTCAGACTTTTCCCTTCTGTATCACTAGATAAAAACAAATCTTTGGCTAGAGTTCAACTTAATCACATGTATACCAGACAATATTTCAACTTAATGGATACAAACTGTCGTGCTCGGCAAGTGAAAGATTACCAAGAACTAGTAAAGTACTTCCATCTAGAGTCCATTTGAGTGTTCCCCTAATAGATAGTAATATTCATAAATTTGCAGTTCTCTTCAGATTGGGAAATCCTTACACAAAAAATCCTAAAGGACAGATAGAAAACACACTGGCATTGTGTGACCTCTTCAATAAAGCTTTATGAACTGGATCACCGATTGTGAAGCCAGGTCTTCTCACCCAAAATCGGTACATGACCTCAACCCTACTGAACACTCTTGGGATAAACTGAAACACTGCGAGCCAGGTCTTCTCACCTAACATCAGTAGGTGACCTCAGTCCTACTTAAACACTTTTGGAACGAACTGGAACTCCAATTCTGAGCTAGGTCTTCTCACCTGATATCAGTACCTAGACCTCAGTCCTGAACACCTTTGGGATGAACTGGAACACCAATTGTGAGCCAGGTCCTTTCACCTGACATCAGTATGTGACTTCAGTCCTACTAAAGTCCTTTTGGGATGAACTGGAACACAAACTGTGAGCCAGGTCTTCACACCTAACGTCAGTACCTAACGTCATCTCTACTTTGGGCTGAGCTGGAACACCAATTGCAAGCCAGGTCTTCCTCAGCCCTACTGAGCACCTTTGGGATGAAATGGAACACCAATTGCGAGCCAGGTCTTCCTCCGCCCTACTGAGCACCTTTGGGATGAACACACAATTGCAAGCCAGGTCTTCACACCTAACGTCAGTACCTAGACCTCGGCCCTACTTTGGACTGAGCTGGAACACCAGTTGCAAGCCAGGTCTTCCTCGGCCCTACTGAGCACCTTTTGGAAAGAATTGGAACACAAATTGCAAGCCGGGTCTTCACACCTAACGTCAGTACCTAGATCTCAGCCCTTCTGAACACCTTTGGGATGTACCGGAGAACTGATTGCAAGCCAGGTCTTCCTTGGCACTAATGACTACCTTTTGAGAGGTCAGCAGAGCCACACACAGTGGAAGATGAATATCGATGGTGTTCCAGTTCATCCCAAAGATAATCAGTTGGGCTGTTGTCTAGTTACTGACATTAGATGTGAAGGTCTAGCTCATAATTGGTGTTCCAGTTCATCCCAAAAGTGATAAATAGGGCTGAGGTCTAGGTACTGATGTTTGGTATGAAGACTTGAATCACAAATTGTGAGCGAGGTCTTCTTATCTATCATCATTACCTAGACCTCAGGCCTACTGAACACCTTTTGGGATGAACTTGAACACTGATTATGAGCCAAGTCTTCCTGAGCCCTGCTGAACACCTTTGGAATTAACTGGAACACAGATTGTGATCCAGGTCTTCTCACCTAACATCAGTACCTATACCTTTGCTCTAATGACCCCTTGCGATGAACTGGAAAACCCATAGCAAGCCATGTCGTTTTCTCGAACTTTAGTACCGGACCTCACAAGTGGGCACACATTCACACAGACACACACTTCAAAAAC